AATGAATTGAGAGAGACCCAGTGATTACATTGACCCTCTAGCCTGTGAACAGTGGCCTTGTCCTGGATGCCAGAAGATTCCTGAACATGGGGTGGACATGCATGGCTGACCCCAGTGTTGTTACACCTATCAGATCATTTGAAGCTATTGGATTCACCTTGGAATCTCCAGCCTCCCAGGAAAGCAATACAACTCCAAGTGCTCCAAAGCCAAATCTAACCTGCTAAGTGTTTCTCTAAGGCAGCCAGTCCTTTGAAGTGTGGTCCTCCCAGATATTTCTAAGGCTCAGATGAAGTCCCATTCTCTCTCTGTCCATGCCAGCACCCTGCTCCATGACCTAACTTTCCTTTTAAAATATAGAGCACATAAAGTTTATACCCCTTTGAGACATTTTTATTGACCGACTTTTTATCATCTTCCCAGTCGCAGTTTGAGGCAGAGACTGTGACTTGCACTTCCTTGCAGTTCTCACAGATGTTGGGACAGTTGGCTGATGAGTTGGAGAGGATTACCATAGAGTGAGTGTTTTCCTGTCCCAAACTTTGGTTCCAGCCATGAAGCGGGGGGAGCAGGAGTTGGGGAATGTGCCAAATTGAATGGGCTGAGGTCCTCAAAAAAGAGTAAATGATCTTTGCCTTGAGGATGAGCAGTGCCTTGGCGTATGTTCTCTCTGAAGAGCAAATTGTGGGGTGGGGGTGGATCTAAGTGCAGAGAGGACAAAAACGGAAATCAAGTTTTGCCATTTAAAAGACTTTAAGCAGTTAGCAGATCAAGATTGTTTAGTAGAAAGGTCAGAGCATTGCCTTAGCACACCCCAAGATGCCCTTGTAAAATTTCATCAACCTTGGAATGGATAAGGGCCTTGAAAGGATTTTCACATCACTTGTCTGGCCCTGTTTAAATGGCTCATCTGAAACAAGTTTCCCCACATTATTTTTCCTGTGTGACTTTTAATCCTTTCCTGGAAGCTCTCCTCTACATGAAACTTAAGGGCAGACTGCCCGAGAGTGATCTTTGTAGGCTGAGCTAGGAGATCCCCAACTGTTACCCAGCATTGAAGCAGCACATTGATTCTCTGCTTTCCAGCTTGTAGAGTAAGAGGTTAATGGGGTTGAATAATTAACTCAAAATAACTGGTTGATGTCTTTTTATTGCCATTTCATTCTGCAGCAGTTGCTGCCTTATTTTTAGAGGCATTTGTGGTCCTTACTACACCCTGAAATTGGAGTAGAATGAGAAGGAAATTGTATACTTTTCAACTGATATTTTGAAGATAGGAGGAAATTGAAGTGAGGCTGACCATTGTACCACCAAGAGTGCTGATACCATGTCTTGGCTTTATTCTGTTCGACCTTCCTCCCACCCAAGGGTTTTGGTCTGAATATTCTCAGCATTGATTTTACAGGAGAAACCCACTTCTCTCTAGTATATAAATTTCCTTTTGACATTTTAAACTATGAACCATAAACTGATCCATTGTGTTTATTTTTAAAAGTCATCTCTGTTGATGGAAAAAATTATTACAATATAATTCCACTGTAAAAGAGAAGTGGCCCTATCTCCCTGACTATAGCTTGCTGAGGTTAGTAATTTTCTAAGATACCCGAGCCCCTCATTCATCTCTGGACCTTGGCATTACAGTAATTATATTATATGGCAAAGGAATTGTTACCAGATAATATCTTAGAAATTGGGAAATTATGAGCTAATTTCAGCCATCTCAAATTAATGAGAATGTTCTTTCTGAAGTGCTACTAATGTAAACCTTTAAAAAATGACAAGTGAAAGATATTTAAATCCTCTATCTGCAGAGCTCAGTGTGAACTCTGCCAGCATAACCAGTTGCTATTATCCGGCCAGTTGCTGGGGTAGCTTTTTTTTAATCTTCCAGTTTTTATTAAATTTTATCTGGGCTTGGCTGTTATAACAGCAACTTCTCTGGAGTGGCGAGGGAATGTGGTTCTAAGTGACATAACTCAGTCTATAGGAGTGTCATCTGGCCTAGGAGAACTTCACTCCAGGGCAATGCCTGGCACACACAGCACCTTTCTTCTGCCTAGCCTAGTTTGTACATGGATGCCTTCCTTTATCTTAGCATGGATTTGCATCTGTGATCTTGTTTTATTAACCTAGAATTGCTCCTCCCACATGGACGTGGCCCAAGGCTGTACTTCAATGTGCTTATCTCCAAACAGTTGATTCCCTTGATCTCAAAATTTCCCACTTTCCCGTGTTTTACACCTTGATGCGGAAGTGGGTGTTGGAGAAACCTGATGTTTTTCAGGCACTGACCCAACCCTGTCTGATGCATCTATTTTGGGTGGTCCTTCTGTACCATGTGCTATTACCCCACCACCACCATACCCAACCCTCACCAGGGCAGGGCTAACATTTTTGAGAGTGATACTTAGGAAGGGCAATATTTGGAAGGGCTTGCATGACCCTTATATAAACAGAAAATTCCACTATTCATATTGATGAGTAGGAGGAATTTTTGGGTGGTCCCTCTGTACCATGTGCTATTACCCCACCACCACCATACCCAACCCTCACCAGGGCAGGGCTAACATTTTTGAGAGTGATACTTAGGAAGGGAAATATTTGGAAGGGCTTGCATGACCCTTATATAAACAGAAAATTCCGCTATTCATATTGATGAGTAGGAGGAAGTGGAGACAAAGATGATGGAGAAGGCTGGATAAAGCCTGGTCCCCTGGTGGTAGTGCCACTGCCTCTCCCACTCCCCATGATTGAGACATCCCCTTCTGGGAACTTACCTTCTTGTCCACAGCACTTCCAAGCCCTTCCATCTTTTCCTCATTTTTTAATGAGAATTTATACCACTCTGAATTAAGATTGGTCTCGGAAGTCAGACTGTCTGGTTTCGAATATTGTCCTTCTGCTTACTGGCCCTTTAACTTCAGTCAGTTTATTTAATCTCTTACCTGTTTTCTTAACTGTAGTATGAGACTAATATATAATAGACTCTGACTCTTAGTGATTATGGGCATTAAATGAAAACTCATAAAACACTTGGACCTTAGCTGTCTATGGATGCTTTTGAACAGGGCTACTAGTGGCTCTCAGCCTGTTGTGTGAACAAGAAAAACAAGCCTCTCCTTGCTAATTTCTGTCCTATTTTCCCCACCACACACAGCTTGATGCTACTGGTGAGTATTCAAAGTAAATTTCACTCATTCATAGTTAAAGCTGCCAGGGCGTATAATGTTGCCAGCTTGGTGAGTGATATCACATCCATCCACCACCTGAGTCTCATCTGCACAGCCTGCTTGTCATTTGAAGTTCTCTCATCCCCACTGTCCTTAATGTCTTGAGAACTTTTCTGTTATTTGTTCAACTTTGACTTAAGTCAGACCTTGACTGGCTCTGTCTGGCTTCCTCCTCCACACTTTATTTCCCTGCCTCTGGTTGTACACACCTTCCCCTAAACCAGTGTTTCTCCTGCTAGTCTCTGAGATGCACATCTGATTGTCATTTCTTAATCTGAAATCCTCCACATCTTCCCACTGCCTGGGGTAAAATCCAGGCACCATAGTGTAGGTCCTAAGACCTTTGGGCAGGGCCTCCCTCTGCTGCACCAAAATTCAACTTCACCTCCCCTCCTCTCTACATAGAAGAGGACCCATATGGCAAACATCGAGTTGAGCGATGAATGAAGGTATTAATAAGATAATATGAAGAGCTCAAATAAGTAATGCTAAAACTCAAGTAATGCAAAATTTACCAAGTGTCACAGATAATTCACGAAGTACAGATTAGTAGTACATAGAGAAATGTTGAACTCTTATTAAGGATCAAAGAAATTAAAGTCCAAAGACATTTTTACAAACCAGATAACCAAAGGTTTTTAAGAGTTAATGTACACTATTTACCAGAGCTTTGATACATTCGTATTCTCAGTTGGGGGGAGGATAGATTGACCTGGATGGATCAGAAGATAAATTTTCAGAGTAATAAAAACATTTTCTACCTGGAAAATGTTCTTTTTTTGCAAATGTATCTCTATGTACCTTCTACTCTGTGTGATACTTATCAAAAATGCATTGAAATATACTAAAATTGGTGCATCTTACCATGTGTAAACTCTAAAGATGATTAAAACACTGTTACTAGCGTTAAGAGAATAAGGTTTTTTTATACATTGGGTGGTAAGAGTGAGGTAATGACTTGGTTCCATCTTTCTGGAAGTTAATTTGCTTCTGCCTTTAAGAAACTGTACTCCTGGATGTGATAATTCTCCTTGGACAGCAACCTTAGGAAGAATCATGAATTGGAAGATATACTGTATATACTATTATCCATTTTGATAGCAGTTAACACTGGAAAAAGTGTCCTCTGATGAAGGATTGATTAAACTGTGATAATCTGTGTGAGGCTACTGCCACTGCATGAGATCCCTTTGAATAGGGATAAGGTATCCCAGGCTTCTGATAAGGCAGCTGAATTTCAGCACCACCTGTCCCCTTTACGTGGGTACCTCTGCTCATCCCATGTCTCTGACCACAGCCCTGATCTATACTTTGGTTGACAAGGCAGACATTAATGTCTAAATCCCTTTAAAGAACAGTGTGGGTAGTTGTTTGCAATGGAAAGTTAAAATGAAAAAAACAAACAAAGTTGTACAGCTAATTGTAAATATTTTCAAAAACTTCGAATTTCCCAGAGAAGACCTACTGAGATGTAATTGGTGGTTGACCAATGAGAGAATTACAGCTGACCTTTCCTTCTGTGCTGTCCCTAAATTTCCTCACTAGCAATTCTTTTCCTATTTATGAAAATAGCTATGTTTATTTTGCTAATTTACTGAAGCTTTGCAGTGCTGACCTGCAACAGTGGTCTCTGAGCACAGGAGCAGAGCAGAGGACTTGAGTGCTGTGTTAAGGGCAGAGCTGGTCTGGAGTAGAGGTGAGGATAGCTTTGTGATTCCCAGTGATATCCTTCCATCAAAGGAATGTCTTTGCCTCTTTCCCCTTCTGCAGGTTTGAGACCTTTGAGATAAATAGCTTTGAGCAGTTTTGTATCAACTTTGCTAACGAAAAGCTCCAGCAACAGTTCAACTCGGTATGTCAAGTTTATGGCCCTGGGGATAGGGGAGGCCTCACACTCTTCTGGAGTAGATGCCCAGCCCGGAGCTGCCTCCCTTCCACTTGAAGTCAGTGGGCTGCAGCTTTGCCCTGGCCTTCTCTGGGTTTCCTTGTGCCCCAGCTTTCAAAACTGATTCTCCATTGCCTGGTGAGGTCACATTACTCTGGCAGCTGTGTTGAGAAGGTAAACGATCTCATTTGATTCCCACTCATCTGATCCTGGGCTCTCAAGTATTTAAACAATTGCAGGCCAGATGTGGTTCTCCTTGTGATTGGTTGGGTGATAGCAACACAAATGATTACTGAAATAACCAAGGAGAGGGTTGCAGAGGAATGGAAAAATCATTTACCAAGCTCTTTGAGAGTTCAGTAGAAAGGTGACTGCATTTCACTTGCATTGACTTTTTACTTCTTTTCCTAGCATGTGTTCAAACTGGAGCAAGAAGAATACATGAAGGAGCAGATCCCTTGGACTTTGATTGATTTCTATGATAACCAACCCTGTATTGATCTCATAGAAGCTAAGCTGGGTATCCTGGACCTGTTGGATGAAGAATGTAAGGTAAAAGTGGCAATACTTTCATTGAATTGATTCAATTCTAGACTTAAATTGTGGAACAGTAGGCAGCTGTGTGATGCAAGGAAACATGAAATCTCAAAACTGGGAGTGAATCCTTAGTGTTCTGGAAGATACTTTGTTATCCATTCTGCATGAATTGAGTGTGATAAGCAAATGTTGTCATACTGGTAAATACAGGGCTCTTTTGGCATATGGATAATAGTCTGCAGCTGTTAGGAATTGGCATGATAAGGTGGCATAGATTTGGTGCCTTGGGTGTCCTAGGTGCCAAGAGAACCAGCATCTAGAGCGCTCAAAGGCCAGGATCATCTTTGCAATGTGAAATGACTGGTGATAGTGTTGGGTGGCAGGTGATATTCACAGATTTCCCTCTGCCTGTCTTTAATGAACTCAACCCAGTGTGACAGGGAGAGCTCCTGGCAGCCTTGGAAGTCTATTGGGTGAGAGGATCTGTATTTTATTAGTTGCCTCACTTCTTTGGCTTGTGGTTTCCTGTCTTATGGGTTGAAAGGAGTTGGTTTTGATCTTCACAGTCTCTCCCAATTTTGTGCTTGATTGATAAGAGTAAACAGTTCATTTCTCCAGTAATGGAAACTAATAAAAAGCTCTAGAAGCCACACAGATCATGGTATTGAAAGGGATGGATTCCATTGCTTTGAAGTTCTTTTCTCCCCACACCTTGCCTGTAAAGGAAGGTATGTGGCTTAATGGTTAGGGAGGTGGATGAGTTTTCCTTCTAGAAGGTCTCTACTTTTTTCATTGACTTTCAAATGAAAGGAAAGGATTAATAAAACAATAGGTGACAGAGAGAAAATATACTGAATCCTGTAGCTGGCATAGTTTTACCTCCATGTTTCAGTATCTCTTTAGAGACACTAGCTTTATCTTCAAAGTCAGTGTTCAAGCAGGAATAATTTCTAAATGTGTCAGGTGTTTGTCGTGTGTCATGTATTTGTTTTGCCTTTGCCTTGTCAGGTGTTTGTCTGGTTTTGCCCAACCTAGGAGGTTGGAGTTAAGGTAAAATAATTGTCCCTGGATTGAGTGGCCCTAGCTAAATTGCTGACATCATAGCATTAAGCCTTCCCATCTCCCTCCTGCAGTCGACTCCTCACTTTTCTGTTCCACAGCCAACAGCCTTCTTCCCCAGCTTAGCCAAGAGTATACCCTCCTCAGTCTCTGTTGCGATTTCCTGTCAGTGACCATCTCCTGCAGCTCCATATCCCCCACCCAACACCCAGACCTCTGTCCCAGGCTTCTGGGGTGCTGGCCAGTGTGTCACTCAAACCCTTGCTCAAGCTGAACTCTGGCTTTTCACTCCACTCCTTGCTGGTGAAGGTCTTGCACAACAGAGGATATACTGGCTGTCCTGCATAAGTCCATCTGTACCTGTGATGAAGAGTTAAGTAATCATAAACCAGGACCCCCAGGAGACGTGGCTTCTGCTTTCCCATTTATTCACAGCTTCTCACAAAATACCACAGTGCTTTGGGAAGACCAATTCTGTGACTAGCAGCTGTCTAGTGAGTTTGTAGTGATATATGTGCCTTTGGCCAGTGAAATAGGACTGCTGGTAGGTTTTTTTTGCCTTGTCCTCTGAGGAGCTGAGAGGTGCTACCACCCAAGGGGCCATCTCACAACAATGTCAAAGCAATGGGAACACTGGTCCAAGGACATAGAGATGGAGTTAGATGGGCCTCCACCCCTGAGGGTAACCCAGAGCAGTGCTGAGCTCAGAACAGGTAATTCCAGGAATGGTGTGAGAGCACATAGCAGATAGCAGCTGTAGAGAAAACAAGCCAGACTCGGGCAGGGAGGCCCTCAAAACAAGCCCTGTTCAGCAGTTAAGAAAGTAACTACCCCAAACATTAGACTTTGCAGCCCGAGACAGTCCCAGTCCAAGAAATGCCCCAGTTTCTCTTGTCTTCTCTCTTTCTTCTGAACACACACCACCTGCAGCATCTCTGTGGGCATCTGTCTTACTTAAGAGAAGCTACAGGAAAATACAGCTGTATTTCTAACTCCTGCCACTGCAATCAGTCAAACACCAAAAACATGTTATGCACATGCTGTGTTTTTCATCTTGAGGGAAAGCCCTCAGAGAGGAGAAACTGACCTCCCTGATGACTTGCAAGGGAGGACAGGCAAGGTTGTATTTGGACCAGTGAACAGGGGTGGGGCCTGGAGATGTCAGATTCCATAGCAAGCTGGGAGGGGCAAGGGCTGCAGAATGTCTTAAAGGGGCACCAATTTAAAAACCACACTGAGCTACATGCAGCCACTATGATTCCCCCTCCCAGTGCTCCCTGGTTTTGTTCAAAGTCCAGATTTTCTGCTCTTGGAGCTCATGGGAGCTGGGGATGTCAAGATGACAAATAGTGTTGTGAATGTGACACATTTAAACTCACTGTTGGCCAAGACTGCAAGTGTGGCTGGGGAGGTGAGATGAATGCTGAGTTAGGAATAAGACAGAAGCCCACAGTGTGGAAACTTTTTGCACCAGACTTCATTGTTCTGTGAAGTCAGAGTGACTGAGTATAATTTGCAGCCTCTAGCAAGATGACTTTAAATCAATAGATGTCATTCCATTTGTCAAAGGTCACCTAACTGATCCTTTTAAAAGGGGTGCATTTTACTGTAGGAAAATTACACTGTAACAAATCTGACTTTAAAAAATAGAGGGTGGCCTTCTGGCCCCTTCTGGAGGTAAACACATCCCTGAGCCTCAGCAGGTTGAGGAATTCCTCTGTTGTCTGTTGTAACTGGGCAGTGCAGAATCCCTTGGGATGAAGCCTTTCAGACTATGAAATCTGCCTCAGATACATCTCTGTCCTCTAGTCTCTCAGACCCTCTGTGGCTGAGAAATAATGAGACCTCACTGTGAAGAACTGAATTCTGCAACCCCCACTTGACAGGACACAAAGCAAAGAGAGGGTTGAACTGGTGACGTAAAGCAGCCAATGGGAAAATCACTTCCTGGAGATGTGCTGTGGAGAGCAGGGCTAGTGAGAGGTGTTTCAGTTAGAAGTGTGGACACACCTAGCTGTGGACTGAAAGGGGCAGCACATGGGGGCCTCTCCCCAGGGCCTGAGATAGGTCTCAAAACTGCAGGGGAGGCGTGGGGACCACAACATCAAACTGCTCAGGTTTGTTTAGGTGGAAAAGCCCCACATTTATAGTCAGACCCTAAGCAACCCACAAGCTATGCAGTGAGTGCTTCAGCTATCCCAGGGAGTAAGAAATTTTAACTTCAGGCTGCTTTTGCCTAAGTTCTCCAGTCCACAGTGTGCCATGGGGTGGGGAGAAGTGGGACGCAACAGTCCTTTCCCTCCCCTAAGCCATAGTCAGGCTGACATTTTCTGCCATCCAGTGCCCCATACATCAATCTCCTCCCTCTTAGAAGAACAAGTTAGTCTGGCTTATAGAATATGAGAGGTCACTGTATGCTTCCTTCTGGGTGGCATATTTGTATTTTAGCAGAAATCTTCTGGAAATGATGGCATGATCCCTGAAAGCAACCATAGTGAATAAAAATACAGATTACTGCTACAGGCTGGAGAGACAGTATTGGGGGGTCTTCAAAGACAGGCTTATCAGGAACAGCAGGCTCTACCCTGTATGGATTGTTTTGTTGTGGAACCCATCTAAAGAGCTGAGTACTCAGACATTCCTCATCCTTGTTGTGCTTCCCAGTGACATCAAGCTGAAGACAGTGGGGCTATTGCTGTCATGTCTTCTCATTTAGGCCATCCTGCTCCCAGGAGAGTTTTTGGTTTTATTTTGTTTTTTGTTTTGAATTTTTTGGGTACTGGGGATGGAACTCAGGACCTCATGCATGGCTACATCCCTGGCTGAGTTTATTCTTTCAGATCAAGGTTTGTAGTGTCTTCAGTGGCCCTAGAGGTCTCCTTCAGCTGATTGAAGAGAGTCTGGAGTGAGCAGGCAGGGAGATGGACTGGGTGTCCAGGAGCTTAGCAATGGGAGAGGCCACCTCAAGTCTGTTGGGTAGAGCAGTCCAAGGGAGTTGTCAGGTCAAGGAGGAGTTTCGGTAATTGGAAGTGAGGCAATGCAGATACTGACTTCCTTACATGGCTGCTGGTTGGGATGCTGACTTGGAGGGCGGCACTTTTCCCCAAGGGAAGAGAAGGAAAAAGAGTGGCTGAGGATGCAGATGGGTTTCTGGGTGTAACAGTTTCTGGGTTTGTAATTCTCTGCTTGAAAACCTCCATTTCCCATGAAGGAAGAAATGAGGCATGCACCAGGAGGCAGGTCAGAAGCTTACAGAGGCTGGAGGAAGGGGAGAGCTATCCTGTGAGTGGGACACTGAATAACTGAGTGCACCGTTTCACAGATGAGATTGAGGAGTCATTGAGGTCAACTCCCAATTAGAGCCAGGATCAGTGTCTTAATCTACAGAAGGATGAAACTTGGTCTTATTTTTTGGTAGCAACACTGTTATACTTACTACATTAGATCAACAGGGCTTGGTGAAGGAAAACTGAGTTGCTGTGTGAGTTCCTCCAGCCTCTGGGAGAAGGGAAAGAGAAGTAGTCTGCTCAGACCTGTGAGGAGTTGGTATTATGCTGAGTGTGCAGGGAAGAGTCATGTGAGGGTGGAAGAGTAAAGGCCCAAAGCAGCACTGGGTGCTGCTTGGTGTACAAGGAAGTAGCTGCCTCCTTTCTGGACAGCTGTTCGGGTTGCATAGTCCTGGGCTGAGCTGCACTCTGTTACAGCAAGGAGCAGGCAGAGGGTACTTCTCAGAGACTTGAGGATCCAGAGGTGCTTTGTTGTGTGGTGATGTGAGAGGTCAGCAGAGGTGAGAGGCATCAGGGAGCCACAGACATAAGGGATGGAACAAGACAGTGAGTGTCTGGAGAGGCAGTCACTGCTGGCAGTAGTCCAGGAGGACAGGGTCAAGAAGCAGAGGTTAATAAGTGGCTATGAAGTCTTTAGTAGCCATCTCCTGTCTGCAGTTTTGTCGGGGGCAGGCTTTGCTCCCAGGGGGCACCCCAGATAGTGATTGCAGCTCCTGTGATAGATTAGTTTCTCCTCGAGGTGCCAAAGTTTGTATAATGACAAAAAATGCATACTCTAGATTCAGCCTGCCTTCCAGCTCTGTGGTCTTGTGCAAGTTACTGAAAACCTCTATCTCCTTTTCCTCTTCTCTCTGTATAAACTTAGTGCCTATCTCATAGAGTTATGAGGATTAAGTGAGTTGATACATCTCGAATGTGTAGAAAACTGCCTGACTTACATGAAGCATTGTGAACATTAGCTGTTAGTATTATCTGAGATTCTTAATTGATATAAGTTCCTGCTGGTCTTTATTTATAGTTGGAGGTGGAATGGGGAGTAAAAAGAGAGATGAATAGCCGGGCATGATGGCACATGCCTATAAAACCAGCACTCAGAAGGCTGAGTCAGGAGGACCACTGTGAGTTCGAGACCAGCCTGGGCTACATAGTGAGTTCCAGGTCAGTCTCAACTACACAGTGAGACCCTGTCTCAAAAAAACAAAAAAATAGAGAGAAATGAATCTTGGTTAAGAAGTATGTATACAACATGACCTTGACTGTTGGCCTCCTCTGCTAATTAATTCTGACTTACTGAGTACATAGGATCATACATGGGGTCTTCTCACAGAAGTCCTGTCTTTGCATCAGTGTGATTTGTTACCAGCGGACTTAAGTATGTACTTAGGTGAGCCTTCTCACAGTTCTGCTGCCCTAGTTGGATCAGTCCCTCAAGGTCTGTCTTACTCCTGTCCTTGGCCTAACTGGTTCCCAACAGCCCCACGAGGGTGACCCATCTTTCCCCCACACCTGCTGGTTCTAAACACAGAATGCTTTTAGGCAAATACAAAACAGTGTATATATAGAAAATGCTGAATTAAATATTTCATTGTCTGCCCAACACAATTAATAGCCTCTTTCAATAAAGCATTTTCTTTTCTTGAATTTCCTATAGCACATAGCAGTGAGTATTCAATACTAGTTGTGTATTCAATACAATACACATGGAATCTTAGGAAAAATCTGTTTGCTTACAAAGGATTTAAGAAGTTTGTTCTCAAGTATGTAAGCACTTTCTTTATCACACAAATTTTATTCATTTACTAAGCAAAACTCTTTAAATGGCTACTAAAGGGTCACCTTCATCTTGGCTTGATCCAGATGTATGATCTAAATTAATGATGGGTTAGTTAATTCATGACCCATAACTAAGGACTCACCATTCTGGTGAGTGGGTGTCAGGGATGACATAGGAAAGAACATTTAATAGGTTACTGTCTTCCTTGACAGTTTGAGTTGTGGTTACCATGACTGTTATGTTTTCAAGGAAGCAAGGTGCTTGTTCACTTTTGAAGCCATCCATAGAGACACTGAAAGGGGCCGCCCCTAGGAATTCTTTTTTTTTTAACCCAATAAAAAGTATCTTTATTCTCATATTTAAATTTTTTGTATCATAATGTATTAACAATATAAAAATACTTAGACTGCTACATCGATCCATCTTTCTAAGATTCGTGAATATGTGAACTTTGGATTCTGCATGGGGACTAAAAGGCTTTTATTGAGGGACATATGTGAATACAGAGGCAGCCCTTTTTCTTTGGCTTCAAATTATGTATAGTGAGGAGGGAAAAGAAAAATCCCAAAACCATTAAATTTAAAAAAGACTTGTTTTACAAGGCTTAGGATTGAAGCTTGGCTCAAAATGGATTAAAGTAGGCTGTGGTAAAAACCTGTGTCCACCACTAGTGGTTTCTGGACTCCTTGCCTTAGTTGCAGTGGTCCTTCTGCCTGCAGCCCCATGGGAAAACTGAAACTGACTGCTCTAGATGCTGGAAGATAGGCACTGGTGTTGGAAGTCTGAGGTTTGCCCTCAGCTGCCCAAGAGCTGGCTCCACCCACACTGATCAGCTGGAAATGAAACTGTGAAAAAAGCACTTTAAGGGGAGGGGTGCACATTGGAGTTCAGCCATTGAACTAAACTGCTTCATTCAGTGCCTGGGGCCTTGCTATCAGAGTTTCTTAGACTGGTGAGTTTCTCAGGAAACATTTCTAAGTAATCTGAACTAGAGCCACCACCCACCTTTGCCTGATAGGAGTGTCAGGCTGTTCTTGTTGCCTTGTTGGTAGGCCTAAACATACTGCACACCCTCTTCCTCTTACAAATTCCTAAGAACATAGTGGGGAGGCTTTCCTCTAGTCCAGCTTGTGGATAGTGGCTGGTTTTCTGTATATAGAGCTTCTCCAGGCCCTGGAGACCTTCCTTGAGCTTTGCTGCTGTTGCAATGATCACATGTTGTTTGATAAGCTGGTCATTCTTGGTCCATGAAGTATCTGGTATGATATGTGGTATGGCAGAGGGTGACAGGAGAGGCACCAGTAGAGAAGGTAGCTAGGCTCCATCCAGTCTCTGTGACCTACAGCAGAAAAGCAAGGGAGGCAGGGGCATCTGACTATCAAAGACAAATTGATAAAAAACAAAACCAAAAAAATAGATGCAGGTTGCCATAGTCACCAGGATGTCCTTAATGAGATGGCATGCTGACAGACTTGATCCCCACCACTTGAGCATTTAAACTGATGGCCTCAGGTTCAGGAAGATGTTCAGCCTCTTGGGCTGGATGCTCAGGGTTTCACAGGGCCTCTGCCACTTCTGCCTCTAGGAATTCATAATGATATGAAACTTCTAAGTCTGATTTTACATTTGGAGGGAGACAGAGATATTAGTCCTAGGCAGACCAACCACTAGGCACTTGGTGCCCAATGTGTGACCAGAGCCCGATTCTAGGTCCTTGAGGAGCAAGAAACAAAGCAGTAAGGTGTAGTCAGTCCTTTAACCCAACAGACCTAAGTGTGTAGTAAAAATACAATGAAACTAGTGGTGAATTTGTGTGTGTATGTGTGTGTGTGTGTGTGTGTACTCAGTAGTTAGGAATTTTAGAAAAGGGAGACTCAAAGTCAAGGGTGGTAAGGAACAGCATCTGAAAAAAGGATGCTAGCGCTGAGCCTGGATAGTAGCATGGATGAGCCTGGGAAGGAGGGAGGGTTTTTGTACAGCACGTTCCACCAAAGCAAGCAGGGTGAAGGTGTGCTGTGCTGGAAGGGAATGAGGGTGTGTTCAGGATGCTGCAGAGAAGACTCTGCTCCCTTGGCCTCAGCTTCTCTTCTCACCCTGTATTTGTATTTCCTGCTTTTGCCAGCCAGCAGATCATTGGTGAGTCAGCACACTTCTGTGGATGACAGCCCACACATGGTGGGTTGATGGCCTACTGTGCAGGACCCTGAGCATCATGATTGAGTCATTTTTCCAGGGTCTTGTTGAGGTCCTGATTTGCGCTGAATCCATCTTACAGAGCCAGTGTACTGATTCCATCCCTCTGCTGTGACATTTTGCTTCCTTTTTACTCTTCTTAAAGCACTCTACCTTATTTTGTGGTTCTGCAGGTCCCCAAAGGAACTGACCAGAACTGGGTTCAGAAGCTGTATGACCGGCACTCAAGCAGCCAGCACTTTCAGAAACCCCGCATGTCCAGCATGTCCTTCATTGTCATCCACTTTGCAGATAAGGTGGCTGTCCTCTTTGCTACCTTGTCCCTGCCGTAGCCCTGCCTTAAGTAAACTCAGGTTTCTGGGCCTGGAGGCAGATATCCCTTACGTTCCCTTGAGGGAACCCATCCTCCCAAGGATGGGTGTTATTGAGGAACTTTTCTAAATGGATTTTTCTTTTAATTCTCAGACTGTGGTGTGCGTGTAAATTAACTAGGGGTTTGTTAAAATGCACAATCTGACCAGTGGGTCTGGGGTGTTACTGAGAAACTCATCCATGGGGCCCTAATGAAATCTCCTATTTCGGCAACTCCCTTTTAAGACCATATTTTCTTTTGCAAAGTGATTTCTCAGTTCCCCCTGTGTCAATCCTGGCTTACTGAGTTTGAATTTTAAATGGAGACATCTGTGGGTTTCCCATCTACTCACAGCCCTTTTTAGAAAATTCCCCATGGATGAGATGAAACTATAGGGGTGCTTTGGTTTATAAACTTAATATGTTTTACAATTTTGGAGAAGATGGCCAAGGTCATTTATTACCCGATGTGCAGTTTGTGAACAGAGACAAAATTTTGCTGAACGCTTTTGTTTGTAAACCAAATTTTTTGCAAACAGAAGCCTCCATGAGCCAAGGTATTACTCTATTTAAGTACTCGGACTTCTGGAGGCTGAAGCACTGTTTTTCCTTCCATTACTGTGGCCCCAGGTGGAGTACCTTTCAGATGGCTTTCTTGAGAAAAACAGAGACACGGTATATGAAGAGCAGATCAACATCCTGAAGGCCAGCAAGGTAAAGAGCATCAAGGATGTAGAGGGGGAGCAAGTGTGTCCACGGCCGGAATTAGGTTGAGGGAACTGGTGTCAGCCTCACTGTGGATTGTAGCGAATATATTTGATGAGAGGAAAACATTAGGAGGGTTAGGGAGAGACAACTGGGAAAGATACCTGCTGATGAAAGGACAGAGAGAAGGGATTACAATCAGGAGGAGTGTGAAGGTGAAAATGTTGCTGATAGGGGTTAAATTCCTCATCTTCCATCTTGGTCCTTCATATTCTAGTTGGTCCTTCACGTAGCTTCTGTTAAGAGTCAATCTATAGAGCCTCTTGGTAACCAAAATCTAATGGAACAAAAGCTCAGAGTTAAAGGTCACCTAAATCTACTTTGGAATCTTTCCATTATGTCCAGATTTAGCTGTGTTTGAGCATAGCAAAAAGAGCAGATGCTGTGTTGGTCCATTCTACAGGGAAAGGAAACAAGGCACCCATTTCCACCTACATTTGTTAAAGCACCTGCTTGTGAGACACATTATTGACCCACCTGTTCCCATTCAAAGATTAACAAGGCAGTCTGTCTTGTAGTTGCTACTGTTGTGGAGTGAAAAAGATGATGTACACTGATAGCTGGAAGAGAGAGGAAGCGTGAAGACAGCTGCGGAGCCCGGCACACCGGCGTTCCACACAGTGCAGATGCTGCTGCCAGCTCCAGCCCTTCAGAGGAAACCCAAAACAGAAGTTGGCAGGGTTTAGGAAGCTTTCTCTCAGACCACATGGTACCGAATTCACTGCGGGGGCCTGATAACACTGTAGAAATGACAGATGAATTTCTCCTTGGGATAAGCTTTAGATGAATGCAATAGGGTAAGATGATAGAGTGGAAAAAATATACCTAATAAAAAGGACCCAAGGACTTAAAGCTGACTTAAACCCTGTATGTCACATGTCCCTGGAGGCTGAGGATTTAGGGAGGATTTAAGTTGGTGGTGGCCTGCGGACCCCTCCTCTTTGTCATCTCTGGATGTCTGGAACATCAGAGAACTAGTCCCTGGAACAACTGCCTGTGGGTGAAGGTGACTCCATCCATCGGTATTTTGGAGTTCATCACAAGGTTAACTCCTCATCTCCCCAAGTTCCCAAGTCTCTTGTCCATAATAGTTACACAGGAGTTTTACCTTTTTCCCAAGAGTGATGGTGGGGAGGGGATAAGAGGACTCTCAGGCCATGAGGAAAGAAGAGAATTAGAGTGTGTGCATACTGGGGCACCATCCCCATCCTGGGTGTCCTGGAATGCTGAGAGGCCAGTGGCCTCCTATATGTCTGACAGGGGTCCCCAGGTCGAGGAACCTCTGTCTTTGGGTATCCGTCTCTTTTTTCAAGGAGAAGCACAAAAGAGAGTTAGTACTTCTCATTAAAAACAAGGTTGCTGTTGCCACTATGTTGATTGTTTTAATTTGAGTGACTTGGAGATGCCAGAACCTGAAAAGGAGTATTGCCAATAAACTCTCTGAAAGATCATCTTCTGTTAATGGCTGGGCTTGTTTTCTCCCTTCTTTTATTTAACAACTTTACTGAATATTTGTGTGGTACACAGTATGGTGATAACAAACATTTATAGTTAACCTCATGGATCTTGCTATAGTGAAAAGGGTATAGTTATTACATATATACAACATGAAGAAAGATATACTTTGTCATGAAGTACAAGTTATGGTAATGCCATGAAGGTCAGAAGAAAGGTGCTATTGAAAAGAATGAGCTATGTTGGGAGATCCCAAGACTACCATCACGTTCAGTAGTTTGCTAGGAGAACTCATAGAACTCAGCATGTATACTCAATGCTATCATTTACTACAGCAAATATAAAGTTAAAAAAAATGTTAAGGACAGGTGCATGGGGCACATCTGGAGGAATCCAGACACAAGCTTCCAAGTGTCTTCTCCCAGTGGATTCACACAGAATGTGCTGAATTCCCCCAAATAAACAAGTATAAAAATACTTGTGAAATGTCTACCAGGGAATGTTGCCTAAGCCCAGGTATTCAGGGTTTTTATTCAACATCAGTTAGGTAGATGCCCTCTGCTTCAAATGAACCAAAATTCCAGACACCCAGGAGGAAAGCAGGTGTTCAACATTAACCATACTGTTTGCACAGTCACTTTAGGCATAGTGAGCCAGTTTTGCTGGGGATGCTGAAAACTCTCCTGAAATCAGTTTCCAGACACCAGCTGGGGGTTGACCTTGTGAGGAGACCTAAGGATAGCAGCCTCCTTTTTGTACAAGGGTATAATTTTAGATTGGGGGTTCTAGGTTTTTATTGGAAGTGAAATATAGACTCATAAAAATTAAAATAGTGCAGAAATATATAAAAGCCATCTCTTCTTCACCCATGTTCTGATGAATTCCTATTTTGCTTATACAAGAACATGGGTTACATCTTTTTAAGATTAAAATAATCACAGTATATAAACCTAGTCCTCTGTAATTTTTCAGTAACTGTTGTATCCAGACCATCTTTCTACATGAGTACACATGTACTTTTCCTATTTTAAACAACCACTGGCAGTTTGCTGTTTCAAATGCCCTTCATGTGTGTCTTTGCTTCCTTACAGTTGTCTGTTGGGTACAACTTTAGAAGTGGGATTGGTGATTCAAAGGGTATATGCATCAAAATGTATAGAAGTTGCTGAATTGGAGGACAAATAGGTCTGTGATCTTCTCTTGAAAGATAACATACTCCCTTATCTTTCAACTCACCCACTGCAGTTCTAGCTTTCTGCTATTTATAAAGAACCAGTGACTTTCTTGCCACCCTACTCCCCATTCCCAGTTCTGAGATGTTGTGGTGGTGACCAGCCACATGTAGGTCAGCTAGGTCGGGGTCTGGGCTAAAGACCCTCACAGGAAGAGGTCAGGAGCTCCCCACCAAGAGCCTTCAAACCCAGATCAGACTTCCCCCAAAGACAGAAGGCAAAGATCAGCACTGGAGTACCATACACCCATAGATTGGCTATGCACAGATGAAGCTACAAACCAGAGACATTCCTAAGTGTGCTTTCAATCGGGGCAGTCAGCCATGTCAGGCAACATCTGTCACTTAAGCATTTTTCAGATCCTTGTTCCCTGAACCTCTATCATTTCCTTTAACAAGTTCCTGCTGGCTTGAACCCCCAGTGGTATGTGCATGACTAACCCATTGGATGTCTTGTACCACTGGTGATACAAACAGATCTAATCACTTGTGCTTTCTTTTCATTTTTTTTTTTAACTAATAAAAAGCCACCCAATGGGACAGTCATACATGTACCACCAGTGGCTCAAGCTGCCCGGCAGTGAGACACACAAGTTATGGTGCCACCATGAATGTGTTTTAGTGTTCACAGCAGTTCTCTGAAGCTTATGTTGCTAATTCATGTTACAAGTAGAAAAATACAGACTAGAATGGTATGAGGCTTTATGTCATATATAATGCCCAATTTTTATTGGTTTTTCATCTGCCTAAGTGCAGCTAAATCACAAATCTTTGGTTAAATGTACAGCTTTATTTTTATATTATGAGAAGTTATCTTTTTTTTTCTTTGTGTGGCATCCCCCATAAGAAATTAGCAACTTGGTATGGCTAATTAAGCAGTGTGAAATAGAGGATTCCTACTTGTTTGCCAGCCACAGGGATGTGTGAGACCCTCCCAGCAAGAGCAGTGAGATAAACTGGTGTTGATAAGAATGCAATTAGTAAAGCCAGTCCCACTGCCTAACAGTTTATAATGTAACTAATTACTTTCACATCTACAACAAGCTATAAATTGAGACTTAAGAAATGCCTCTTTAAGGGCTGGGGATTTAGCTCAGCGGTTCGGTGGCGGCCTGCCTTGCAAGCACAAGGACCTGAGTTCAATCCCCGGTACCAAAAAAAAGAAAAAGAAAAAGAAAACATGACTTGAAGCTATTAACATATTCATTTGTTTTAAATACTAAAGAATAATTTTTCCCTCCTCATTTTTTATTGTAGAAAGGAATATTTTATTAAACTTGGTGGGAGACCTCAAAAGGAGAATACTTTTTCTATGAAGATGCTCCATTCTTACACTCTCCTATGTCCAGTGTCCTACACTGTGTGTAGGTTGGAGGGACAAGCAGTGAGTTGTGTGTGCAGGCCAGGCAGCGAGGGCTATTCTGAGCCATATTCCTTGGCAGGCAGTCTGGACACCATCTCTGCACTCCATCCCAGCAGGAAGACTCTGGGACAAAATGGCTCAAAGACAGTCATGGCCTAAAGCCACCAACCTGAGCCATGACAATTCCTAAGGTCCAGTGCCACAGTGGAGTAGCTCAGACAAGGCCGAGTGCTCTCTCCCCCACTTCCTTTCCACTTTATGACTTCAGCTGTCAAGAAATAATGGTGTCCATGCTAACATATTCCTTAAAGGCCACACACATGCCAATTAAGAGCAATGTTTGCTTTTTTAAAAAATATATTTTGAGTCAAAGCTTCAGTTAGCAACATTGAGATAGTCAACATATAATATGCTTGTTCTTAAATATACTTGGCATGCTGCTTATTAATGGTTTTGTGCTGATTATTGAAATGCAACTATTGATGCTCAGAAAAGTAGGTCTTGATGTAAGAGAACTTCCAGCAAGCACCACCCATTTTCCAGTGCAGAAATATGCATGTTTGTCATCTTCCCAAGAGTTAGGTGCAGTCTTTCCCTCAAAGCCCATTGAAAATAAATAAAAATTTCCTGCCTAGACATTTGAGATTTTCCTCCCAAACCATATAAAAGAGCCGGTTAAAAAGAAAAAGTATTTTGATTATGTTTACAGCCATAGTTAAGTTATAATAATGCATATTAATTATACAAATTAATGGGTTTCTCTGGGATGTTTCCATATACGCATAGATTGTATTTTAGTCTTGTTCATCTTCTCTTGCTCCCCACCAGTTTCCTTTCCCTTTCCTAACAGTTCTTCTTCTACTTTCAATTCTTTAAGTTACACATGTGAGAGAAAATGTG